ATGGTCCTGCTTCATTTCCCTAATAACCACCTCAGCCTCACACTATGCAGGTCACCTTCTGCTTCTGCTTAATAGCTCTCCTTCCCTTTGCAGTTACCTTGACAGGATTCTGCTTTGCAGAAGAATGGCTATCAGGCTGTAGCTTCAGTTTACTTGCAACCTCAGCTGCAGGAGCAAGACTTTGATCACATCATCTGTCATCGATTTCATACTATCAGCTTCATAGGCAATACTTCAGATATCCTGGTATGATCATAACAGAAAGGGCATCAGCCATGGCAAACTGCCAGTCACCCCTCTTCACAGGACCAGCACCCTGCTCAAGATGGTCAAAAGCTGCCCTCTTTATGTAATAGGTATCCAGCCAGTGGTCTGAGGTTTCCCAGCAATGCTGAACATTGCAATAGGATGTGCCAAGCTATTCATAATCACATAGTTGATCACAGAACAACATGAAGGCAAATAACGTGTGTCAAATGGAAACTTCCCTTCAGTTTATTATTCTAAATCACATCCCATTTCATCCCCAATATAACATCCACTGTAGCTTCCTTCCTCTTACAGATATACTCAACTACCAATTTTGCCTCCAACATAATTTAGTATTTCTCTCACCATCATTTGCCCTGCCTTAAGATTACATATCTAAAAAGTTAAAAAGAAATGTTCAAAGAAAATGTAGGCAATCATTAGATACACATCTCCACAATTGATTACATCAAGCCAAACTAGAAAGGAATAAAAGGTTAAAGCAGTCAAATTGCAGGTAATAGGGGAAACGGAGCAAATGTAGAAAGAAATGACATGTAAAGGCAACATACAAATTAGGTTGTTTTCAACTTTCTCCAGCACACATCTAAGTGGGACTCATTATAATAGGACTGAAGAGTTGCAGAAGACTTACATAAGAGACAGATTAGTAGTTTTTCTTTAAAAAAAACAACAAAAATCCAGCTGCTGAAAAATGTGCTACAAAAGTGACAGAATCTAGTAAGCTTAGGAGGCAGTTCCGTGACATTACTACAGTGGTCGACACTCAACTAGATAGAAAACTGGCAGAAAGGAAGATAGGTTAAGATTTTTCACAATGGAGCAGATTGCGTGAAGTTAATTATCTGAAATGGACAGACTCCAGAACCTTATAGAACATTTCATCCAGCTGGATAAGTGTCTGTCTGTCTCTTCAAAGACACTGGGAATGTTCTGTGAACACCAACAAATGACATTTAAATTTGAATTTCCTGTAACACAGATGTTTCCTGTTGGGATCAATGAATAAACCGATTCCTAACACACATTTTAAAAAAAGCGCTGGATTTGAGGTGCAATGCAGTTAAATTTTGCACATCGCACAGAGCTAGGAAAACCCTGTGGAGTCAGAGCTGGCCAATGGCTTTCAGTAGAGGTCAACTGGGCAAATTACTGGCAAACGAAGTTCAATGTAGACAAAGTTACTACAAATAAAAAGCAAAAATAGGATGTATTCATACTCCAAGGTCAGTTAGAAATTACTAACAGCAACTTTCATTTATATAGCGCCCCTCACGCAGGGCAGTGTCCCAGACCGCTTGAATACCAAGGAGTAAGATGCAAGAACTCCAGTGTTAATTCAGTGTGAGAGATGGCAAACAAGGCAACAGAATGTTAGGCTGCATTGCCAAAGCAGTCAAGCTCAGATCCCCATCAGGTCATGCTGAAGTGTTTCACTTAGACTACAGTGGTGTACTGCACAGTGTACTGGTTGCCAGGGCAGAAAGCGCTGCCAAGACTCTAAAAGCAGAGGAAAAGAGACTGAATGATTTGCAAGAGGATGAATTACAATGAAGGGCCATCATCATTTGTACCTTGCTTGGTGAACTATAAAATGTCTGTATACATAATAATAATCACCCATAATAATTCGCCCACAAATATAGTCAGTTCACTTTACAGGAATTCTGTGAAGCGCTTTCAGATGTCTGGAAGACGTGAAAAGCGCTATATCAAATGCAAGGATTATTATTATTATTAATAATCCTTGCATTTGATACAGCGCCATGCAACATCGTTGAGACGTCTAAATCGCTTCACAGAATATATTGTAAAGTGAATTCACTGTGTATTTTGTCAGCGAAACAGTAGTGAGGAATGTTTTGAGGGAGTATTATCCCCCGGAAAGCCATCCACCAATCGACTAACAACCGGGTTTCTACTTACCGCTAACAACTGGGTTCCTACTTCCTTGCAATTAGGATTGAAATACTAACATAGCTATATTCTGACTTCAGAAAATAGCAACAGGTTCTACTGACATTCTTAGAGTCACTTTTGTAGCTATTCATCCAAGACAGTGAATGTAAACATCTGTGGCTGCTGCGGTGGGCGGGGAGGAGGTAAGAAAAGGAGAAAAGAGGAAGAGAGAGGAGAAATAAAATCCTAGCCAAGCTCAAACATCCATCGTGCATGTGCTGGCTCTTTGAAACAACTATCCAACCAGTGCCACTCGCCCACTCTTTCCCCATAGCCCTGCCATTCTTTTCATGTATTTAATTCCTTTTTGAAAGCTATTATGAATCTACTTCCATCGCCCTTTCAGGCAGAGCATTCCAGATCGTAACAACTCTATGAGTAAACAAAAATCTCCTTGTCTCCCTTCTGGTTCTTTTGTCAATTATTCTCCCCCAACAATCATAAAAGGACTTTGCAATAGTGGGCACTGGACGGGACACATCCCTCCAGAACTCAACTGTTCACTGTTCTTTCTTGCCAAGATACTTTTCAATAAAATTCTGAAATACCCTAGGCACGCTTGCCTGTGTTTACATGCGGATGAGACAACTTGCATAACAGTCACCAAATTCCCCCTAGCAACCAGCTCGGAAATGTTATTTCAGCACAAGGACACAATGCAGTCTTGATGAAAAATACTTGCTTTGCTGTGACGTGGTTTGATTAAGTATGCTCTTCAAAATATCTTTGTATCCCGAAGATTAATAGTACACATTAAATGGGAGATCAGCTGAATTAAATTCCCCTGAGTCCTGCTGAAGCTGTACAATGCTTTGGTCAGGACTCATCTGGCACACACTTCTCGTTTCTGCTTTCTAGGCCCGAGAGTGCTGAAGAGACAAAAAATGGCTGATCTCTAGTGTTGAGACGAACTGTGAGAAGCTTCATAAGGTAAGCCTCTTTAGTTCAGCAAGAACCTTACAGAAAGTCTATGGATACACAGAAAATAATTTCCGAGACTGTGAGAGCAAAAAAATCTACATGATAGGGTTGAGAGGGTCAAGTTTAGGATAGACATCAGAAATCATCCTCCCATTTGATATGATATCTTCCACATCTGTTCGACATGGCAAAGCAGTTTGCCGGATTTATTGGAGCCTATCCTATGTTAGAAAATGCAGAAAGTATTTTCTATATCAAATCCTTTCACTGTCTACCCCCAGCCTATGTGCGACATCCAGCCCTACTAAGCCAGCTACAGAGGAGTGCTGTAGCTCAGTGGTTAGAGTACTCGCCTCGCAAGCAAGAGACCTGGGTTCGATTATTGAGCGCTTTGAGACGTGTTCCATACAAATGTAAATTGTATTGCGTTTCTTTATACCAGAGTGTGGACATCTGGAATATTACAAGGATGGTTGAACCAGGAGAATTAGGTTCGTTTAAGAAACAGCTGGACTGTTTAAAGAGCCCCTCCTTTAATCAACCCCTCCTCTTTATAATCACTCGGTGCTACAAATTGTGCTCCACAGGCATTTTTTGCTAGATTTCATTGGCCAACAGCTACCACCATTATACGAAAAGGGTTCAATTTGTTTCAAATAATATTCAATTTCAGGTTCAAGCTATATTCTACAACAATTTGGTTAAAAGACAATTTCATTCTCTAGCTAAAAGCTGAATTGATGTAAATTTACTTTGACACTTTACAACGTGAAATTGATAATGCTGTATCCAGGCTTTGAGGGCTTTTAACCCTTGTTCTGAGAAGACAAATGTGTAATTATAGCGTGAGCATTGGGTATTCGTGATCAGCCTTCTCTTTCACAGCCATATCTAGCTCCACTCGCAGAAAACTAATCAGATTTTAAGAGCAAAAAATTGGAGATTGAATTCGCAGGGGTTTCTTTCTGTGTAGATTTGGAAAGGTTACTCCCAAATTTAGCAGTGCAACTTGGCAGCTCAGATATACACGCATGCATACATACTAAGCGTTCTGTTGCTTGTCTCAGCTCCCCCTCTCTTTCACACCCCCACTCGAAAAAAATAGTATTCCCCTAAGACACTACTGCATGCGAACGGCGCTACATAAATGCAAGTCATTGTTGTCCTCCCAACATGAAAGGCACTTAAATGAATGTAAATTCATTGTTACTGTTGAAATAGATGCCATCATATGAAATACATGTCATACATTAGTACCACTTCTTTACTTAACAATAATAATCCTTGTATTTGATATAGCGCCTTATCACGGCATTGAGACGTCTCTAAGCGCTTCACAGAATATACTGTAAAGTGGATTGACTGCGTACTTTGTAGGTGAAACGCGGCAGTCAATAGCCCACAGCAGTGTTCCACAAACAACCAATATTATCTGGGGGATTTGTTGGCCAGGACACCGGGAGAAACTCTTTCCTCTTTTCGAATAGTGTCATGGTATCTTTAACATCCACCTGAACAGGCAGACGGGACCTTGGTTTAGCGTCTCATCCGAAGGACGAAAAATGTAATACATAAATGCATACATAAAATGTAATTGCATATTTACCCTAGTGGACTGGGAGAAGGCAGTTTGCAGGCACCAGGCCTATTAGGCAAAGAACTCTCTCTTTAAAAATAAGAGAGAAATAAAGGAAATATAGTTTTGCAAGGAAATAAAGTGAAATCTTTATAATCCATGGAGTGGGTAGAGGGGAAAATCAATGAAAGAGCATTTCCCCATCACTACAGTGAATCAATACACAGCACATTTATGGATCAATATTCAGTTAATTAAGCTTTTTCAAACTTACCCAATTAAAAGCAGGACGGAACAGACAAACACAAAGACCGTGGTGTATTTCAGTGCATTCTTCACTTGCTAGAAGAAAAATACATGAATTAGACTTATAGAACCCATAACAAAGTTTAGTGAGCTGCACGCATGTGGAATGTACAATCGTTAGAAAGGTTATGCTTCAGTAGTTATAGTCATCTTTCTACACAATACAAAATTAAACTTATTTAGCTCCTTTCACAACAGAAGGTATAAATATCAAGACAATCAAAACAGCCAATATACAATTTCAGGCCCTTAGTTAAAAAATATACACGACTGAGAACTGCTGATCAGTATGGCTCATGTTGGGAGGACGTCTCAAGGTATTTCACAAAGTGCTTCACAGGATTAAAGTGTAGCAACCATTCTGCCAGCAAACGTGGCAGCCAATTTGCACACAGCAATGTGCCACAAACAACTGTGATTTGCTGACGTTAGGACTGTTATTTGTGAAATAGTGGGATATAACACATGGCATTCCTAATTCCATCGATTTGCAAGAACTCTGGCTCCAGAAGGAGTTTTCAACACCACAGGATCACTACAGGTTGGTGTGACACATTTCCAGTTACCAGAGGAGATGCCAATTTGCACATCTTAGATCGCTTAAAGAATCCCTTTAGAAAACTATTATCTTTTAAACTCATGACTGTGGCTACTGCTCATTAAGCTGAGGAGGTGCTTCTCAATTTTGATTTGCACTAATAAGCAACATGAGCAGTTTGTCAATTAATTATATCTATTTGTATTTATTTTTTATTATTAAATTCTACTATTTATGCAAACAGTAGACTGAAAACTGATCCTTGCTTAAAAACAAATTCATTGCAAACAAAAATTGAACTATTGTCGACAGCTGTGGAAGTCTGCATGGCCTCTGCTTAAACACAGGCTAGGAGCTCAATTTGCACAGTGTTGGCTTGTAGGACTCATTTATCAAAGAGACACCTTTTCCTTTCCCTGGGTTTCTCCTTGAATACCCAACAGAACTCATCCTGATTTACAGAACAGTAAACCTCTCATTACCAGCAGCAGATGCTACTGCCAACACATGACGCAAGTTACAGAATTGTGAAGTATAGAAGTACTTCAATTCAACTCAACCGTAAAGCACAGAAACCTTGTTAGAGGCAGAGGCACAAGACACGTGATCACATGTCAGCTCCGACTGCCACCAAAGCAGCTAATCGACTTGGTCACAAGATTACACCCCCAGATACGTGAAGGAGCTTTATGGAAGGTCAGAGATTTACGTGAGCTTACAGAACAACTGTTCAGATCGTCGTCCTCTTTCTCCTCGTAATAGAAGTAGACAAACGGGATCCACAGGAAAACACAGAACAAGATGATGGAGTACAATGCTGGAACAAGAAAAATAGGAATTATGCTCTGCAATGCAACAGTTTGTTATTTATAACAATAATAACAAAAATAATAAGCCTTGCATTCGATTTAGCGGGTATCACGTATCACAGAATATACTGTGAGGTGAATTGACTATATTTTGTGTGTGAAATACGTCAGCCAATTGCCTACAGCAGTGTCCCACAAACAGTCATGAATCGAGTGACCAAAGCATTATTTATTGTCTCATGTTTCGCCCTGCCCGGGAATCGAACCCGGGTACTCTCGCTTGCGATGTGAGTGCTCTAACCAATACGTTGGAGGACTCCACATGACGCTACAGGACTCCACATGGATCTCCAATCCAATTAATGAAGTATGCATCCCAAACTTTGTATACATCTGTAGCCAGGAACACTTCAGGGAAACGAGGACTGATTTTAGTTACAGAACTAAGGGTGCACTATTCCAGGATAAATCTGCAGAAAATAGGCATTCTTCAAAACAATTATGCAGGACACTTAGGTCCAACAGTAGCAAATTAAACAAAAGTGTTATGAAGTGAATCATGAGATTAAGGGAGAAAAAGAGGATAATATTTATAGGTTGAATATTACCATTGGAGTTAATACAAAACCACGCAGAAGTAAGTTAAGAGATGAGAGATGATGAAAACAATGGAAAAGGACTTATAGATAGATGCAAAATATGGCAAAAATTGCTTTCGATATTTTAATGGCAAGAGGCTAATTGGGAGGGAATTTAAAAGAAACAAATACCTAATGGGAGTTGAACACAAAACGTTTTGCCTACAAAATACACAGTAATTTAATTTTACAGTATATGCTGTGAAGCGCTTTGAGACATCTTAACAATGTGATAAGGCACTATATCAAAAGCAAGGACTATTATTATTAACATGAGGACAAACGTAGATGGCAAGCATATTAAAATGACTATATCTCAAGGCATTTAAAACCATGGATGATGCAATATGCAATAAAGTTGTGTTAGCTCTGGGACATTAGCAAAGCAGGAGGAGTTCAATGGGCTGAAACCAATAAATCCCTGGGACAGGTGAACTATATTTTAGGGTACTAAAAAGACACAATTAGAGAGAAGGGATTATATTTATGAAGTACTCAAGGCCATTTAAAGAAGTTGCTGAATCCCAGGAGAGTTTTATTAAACTGGAAACAAGCCAATGTGGTTCCCATATCCAATGGTGACAGAGCCATACTCAGCAACTATAGACCCATTAGCTCAACGTCACAGGAATACATGTAGGAACATTTTAATTAGATTTACCCTATCTGAGAAGAGGTAAATCTTGTCTGACCAGCTGAAATTTTTATGATGTACCCTAAATATTTTCGAAAAGGCCATCTGTGAATCCCTAAAGACAAGTCAGTGAATAAATAGCAGTTAAGAAAAAGAAGGCTAGTCCTTCGGTTAAGACGTTAAACTAAGGTCCCATCTGCCTGCTCAGGTGGATGTTAAAGATCTAATGGTACTATTTGAAAAGAGAAGGGAGTTTCTCTCCCGGTCAATCCCTCAAATAAAATTGGTCACTGACTCCATGGCTGTTTGGCTCTGGAACTCCATCCCCCAGTGCCTTCGCCTTGATTTCCTCCCTTTCCTCCTTCAAGGCCGGTCTCAAGACCTTTCTCTTTGACCGTGCCTTCAGCTCCCCTCTCGACTCTCTACCCCCTCCTCGCTCCCTCCCTTCCCTCCCCTCACCCTGACCATGTCCCCCCTGCTCAGGTCCTGACCCAACTGTACAGCGCCTTGGGACGTCCTCCCGACGTGAAAGGCGCTCTATAAATGGAATCTTGTTGTTGTTGTTGTTTGAGACCTTCGAATGTCCTCCCGACATGAAAGGCGCTATACAAAAGTAATTTGTTGTTGTTTATGGGATACTGCTGTGCGCAACTGGCTGCTGCATTTTGCCCACAAAATACAGTCAACTCCCTTTTCAGCATATCCTGGGAAGCGCCTTGAGACGTCTCAAACGACGTGGTAAGGCACTATATCAAATGTAAGGCTTATTATTGTATCATATAATGTGTTTTAACTGTGCATTGGCTCAAAATGAAGCAGCATAAATATAGAAAGTCACAAGCTTTTGGATTTTGCACCTTGGAAAATATGTTCCATTTTTTAAATATCAATTGAATCAGCTGCACATTTTGTACACAGTGATGTTGCCTGATTATTTTCAGCTACTGCTAGAATTTTCTCCTTCCATTACTGTCATTTCCTTGCTTTTTATTACCAACAGAAATGCAAGTGGAAGAGCAGGGGAGCCGTATCCTATAATATTCAGACATTTAAGATGCGTATGCATATGTATTAGGGGAAATTGCAAAAGCAATACATTATTAAGTGCACATACTTACTGATGAAAGCAGACAGAAAGTGCAAAGCAATATTAAGGCCCAGGAATAGAAAATGTATGAAAAGTACATTAACTTTGCTTTCTTCAAGCAGTTTTAAATAAGGCAGGAAGCAGACAAAAATCTGCTGCCAGACAAATGAGACAAAGATCGCCAGCGTTTGGCAACCCGTTCTCGCCTACAATTAATAAAGCAAATATCCACAACCTTGTACAGCCAGAGGCTGCATATGCTGCATTAACCAGGTCAGGAATCAGGAATGCCATACTAACAGCACCAGAAACACATTCATTACAAGACCACGTGAACAGAACTGCCTCTCTCCCGAACAGCTAGAACATTAAACATAAACCTTGCATTTAATATAACTCCTTACCAAGCTGTTGAAACATCTCAAATATTTAACAGTATTTACTGTAGAGCGTAGTGATTATATGTGGACAATCACAGAAGTTCAGTACATACGGCCATTCAGTTCATCGTGTCTATGTCAGCCTCAAGAGCTATCTATCCATTTAGTCCCACTCCCTTGCCATTTTCCATTCCCTTTTATTAATTCTCCCCTTTTCAGATGTTTCATCTGACTCCTCTCCAAAAGCTATAATGGATTTTGCCTAAACCATCATTTTTGGTGGAACAATTTCCATCTTTTTTAATGCAGGGTCTGAGATTATGGTTGTGCATTTGTTGGTAAAATGGTAAGACGAAAAACAACCCCTTTTGGGACCGATATGTGTGCTTAACTTCCTTGGTCATTGCTTATCGGTCTTCTGCTAAAACGGCATGTAACATGAGTGAAAACACCACATTTCAACACCATGGAAACCCAGCAATATTGTATGGAGAGAGTTGCCAGATTTCTCAGAGCAGTGGATATGTATAAAAAACATTTCTTCTAATCTCAAGCCTCCCTTACCTAAAACACGTTGTATTCCAAAAGTGATCTCCTTATTGACCTATAGAATAACTTATTGATCTAAAATACTTTCAAGATGCAACCTAGCATTTGATTAGCGTTATTCACATTAGCTTCACGTTAACTGGAAGCCTTCAGTGACTGATGAATAACACTCAAATCTTTTTCTTTCCCTTTTCTACCACGGCTAATGGTCACCCATCATTTTGGACACACATTTACCGTTTCTCATTGCAATGTGCATTATCTTAGATTTATTGACATTAAATTCCTGTCAACTTCTTGGCCCATCTAATCACTGCACCTCGAATTATAAGATCTTAACTAGGAGGTTTTAAGTTGTGGTAAGACAATCCACAGCAGTGTATGCCAACCACTCATGTGCATGTCCTTGCAATTCTAATAATAACAATCCTTGCATTTGCTATAGTGCCTTATTATGTTGTTGAGACGTCTCAAAGCGCTTCACAGAATGTATTGCAAAGTGGATCGACTATATTTTCTGAGCAAAATGCGCTAGCCAATTGCACACTGCAGTATAATTAAAGAGCAAGGAAGGTGAGAAAGATTTCCTGTTAGATTTGATTGATTAAAATTGTGCAGTTTACAAAGAGAAAGTGGAACAGGTAAAAGTCACTTAGAATTGAAAGTGCTTAGAACTAGTAAAAATATAGGCAAGCATTGATGTCTATATAATTCAGTTTGTTTTTTTACAAAGTGGAATCCATTGTATATTTTGACGTGACAACAGCACCACATGGTGGCATTTTAAAAAAAATTGCATCAAAGCTGGCCTTTTAAGGTCAGACTTGTGGCATATGGCTACGAGTTAAGACCCTCCTAAGGCATATTGATTCCATCAATAGTAACGATTACAGCAATAAACTCACTGTAGCTGGTGGTTAGATCAACAACAGATCATTCCAGATTATTCACATCAAGCACTGTGCAAAAATAGCTTCATGAAGATAGTACATTTAATAATAATATTAACAATAATAATAATCCTTGCATTTAATATAGCACTTTGTCTTTAAGACGTCTCAGACTCAAAGCGCTTCAGAGAATATACTGTAAGGTGAATTGACCATATATTTGGTGGGTGAGAGAGAGAAAGAGAGAGAAACAATATGATTAAACACAACCCCAAAAAAAACCAATCCCTTTTGCAGCTTTGACTGCCCATAGGAAAGGAGTGTGGAAATTATCCCACAGAACGTTGAGAAGGTAATCGCAAGCAAGTGAACCAAGATTTGATTCCCGGGCGGAGCGAAACCTGAAGACACATTTCCTTACTCCTCACGCCTGTTTGCCAGCAAGCAATCCACCAATTGACTATTGACCACCAATAGACTATTGGCTTGATGGACTAATAAGCCCTCAAAAAAAATTGGTCACTCACTCAATCCACAACTGTTTGTGGAACACTGCTGTGCACAATTGGCTGTTGCGTTTCGCCCACAAAATATACAGTCAATCCACTTTACAATATATTCTGTGAAGCGCTTTGAAAAGTCTCAACGAAATGACAAGGTGCTATATCAAATGCAAGGATGATTATTATTATAATGAAGCTAATGCACAAGGAAAACGTAACTCTCATTAAGCTTGTTTATGTTAATTTTTTTAAAAAAATCAAAGTATATATTTGGGGTTGCCTTCTGAATACAGTTTTAAAAATAGACTGTAGCTCAAATTCAGACTT